GGGGGGGCTGGGACTGTTTACAGCATACTGATTAAGGAACTTAAATTGCAAATAACTTATACATTGTAGTTCATACCAAACAAAATAATCATATATGGCTGAACTTACCACAAAATCACCACCATTTATGTAAGTAATAGGTCCTACATATACCGTTGTTTGAAATAGAATCACAAACAGGCTTGTCGTGACAATCAAGAACTCCAGAAGAAGATAAATACGGAATCTGTGGCTTATTTTCGAGAGATAATACCGCAGACGAACATGCTCTTGAATAAGTACCAAAACGTCAGATTCTCTTTCCAAAAGCTTCCCGTAGTCATCAAAGTGGATAATTTGCAAATTGCAAACCAAATGGAACAATATGCAAGCTGATAGAAAGATTGCAGTAACATAAGTCCATGACACAACCAAAGCCAGTAAAATAGCAACAGAATGCCACCAAGACTCATGCTGTACATAGAGCATGCGGATGATTTCGCGTGCAGTCTTCATAATGAAACAAGGCACTATCCACAATACAAGTAAGCGGACAGAATCCTGCAAAAATTAAAAAACTAAACTACTATTCCAAGTCATATGTTCATTGGAAATGCTACCATAAAAAGAAGTACGAGTGGAATAACTCATTACCGATAAGAGTTGAATAACTTGGACAACAATAATACGAGCTCGGAACAGAATGCCTTGGTGATTAAATGATAGATCAACAGCAGGACAAGTAAATAGGTACATCACAATCCATCTGAGAAAAGAGTGGTTTAAAAGGAAGGCACTAAAATAACAAGAATGAACATATGGTGGTAAGACACTTCCTGCCAATTTTGTGCTATCCAAGATTAGTTTAATCTTAGGTGTTAAGTGCAGAATAAGAAGTGCAACTGTTTTCTATATGCAAAAGCAAAAATATAAACAAAGGCTGTGAACTAATCAAACAATTTCTATCCCCAATGAATTTCCAATTGCTAAAGCATACTTTCCAATATCGAAATTTTAATGTTTAGTTGCCATGTAAATCAGTTATAGATGATACTTTTTATCAGCTCACATAATCTCCCAGTCCATTGACCAAGAAGGTGGTAATCCTTAAATTAAATCAATTCTATAGTTTTTAGGAGCAAATTTTCAATCATTATGATCATTCACCATCTAAATAATAACAAAGATAACACCTGCATAAATAGAAACATTCATTACGGATGAGCACAAGGAAAGCAACACACACAACACCTGTGAGTACTCCCCAGACACCATCTCCAAAACATCATGTCTTATACATTGTGTTTCTTTCCAATAGGGGGAAAATAAAGAGTATTCAATACAACTCACACAAATTTTCTGATTGTATTCGTTAGCAAACCGCTCAACATGGCCACTGTACCGATCGACAAATAGAAATTTCCTGATACCATACTTTCGCAGATTGTGTGAAAGGCAAAGCAGAGACGCAGCAGCCAAAAAAGCCTGTGAAACAACAACATCTATCTCAAATGCTTTAATTTGATACTCTTCACAATTCGAGCAATCGGATAACACAAGTACAACGACAGGAAGAGACACCCCAATCAGCAGAAACACGACACAAGAAAGCCCAAAGCTGAAAACAGAGGATTGGTTGAAGCCCAGCAGAGTGAGTAATGAGTCTAAGCGTTGAAGGGTTTTATCCAAATGGGTGTCATGATCATCTTCACCGCGATGTTCTTGATTTTCTTGCTGTTGGTGTTGGTGGGTTTGATCTGCGATAAGCAGAGGGCTTTGTTCCTGTTCCTGTTCCTGATCTTGGGGTTTTGATTCCTCAACTTCGACATTGAGATCAGCCATTGATGAGAGCTTAATTTGAGATTAATCTAGAAAGTCCTAACATATTGTATCAATGATATGATATTTTGAGAAGTAGCTTGTCGTAGAAACCATGGCCGTCAAACTCAGATGACAGATCACACACGAAAAACTATAGAATATTGAAAATTTGGTGGTGTGTATTTATCACAACAGCTGTGGGTGATGAAACTTAATGATGGATGGCTCATTATTGAGTTTGATTTTTCAGTAATTCACAAATTTCATATGTTAAATCTCTTTTCAAATTTGTTAAGAGTTAGTTATCTGTGTTTCCATTCTCTAAATCAATTCAAATTACAGTAATTAATCACTGAATTCATAAGAATAATTAATTTAAACTCATTAGACTTCTTTATTATGTTAGATCAATAATGAGATGAAAAAAGAATATTATTTTTGTGTGCGGGTCTAGATTTTTTAATAGAACAATGCTATAAAATTCAAAAGTTGTAATCCAAATACATATCATCCCTTAGATTAGTGGATTCCATTAATTTTTTCAGCGAGATCCACTCATCCAAAGGATGATATGTATTTAGATTTTAATTTTTAGGTTTTATTTGAATTATATATTATTTTTCTTTCTCTCTCTCTCTCTCTATATATATATATAAATAATTTTTTTATTAATGAATTTATTCATCATTAATGAGAAAGACTCACTTATATATAATGAATTACACTTAAATGCATGAAAAAATATATTTAGAGAGAATCTCATTTTATACTCCTTTTTTATGTGTTGAAGTTTCAAATTTTCTTCATTTCTTGCCTTTTTGGTTTTTCTATGAAAAGGTGTGTTATTGTATAATCCCTAGTCAACAACAATGTCGAGTCTCACCAAAATTTGTGATTAAAATTTGGGGTAAATTACACTTTGTAGTTTGTGTTCTATTTTTTTTTAAATTCTCAATTTGTATTACTAGTGTCATAAAATTATAGTAATATGACTCAAATCTAAAAAGTCATCTGGTTGTTGTCCGAAAATGAAACACACCACTTGCAAGTGATATTGACAAGGACTTAATTATAACAAAAAACATTTTGATTTGTAATGCCACTTGCAAGTCGCATGCTTCGTTTT